ACACACACACACACACACACACACACACACACACACACACCACACCATACACACACACACACACACACTTTTGAAAAATTAAATTAAAAAAGAAAGAGAGTGTGCTGGTTTGATGGTAGACAGGACCACGGTCCCTTCTCCATCAGAAGGCCTCCTCTTAGGCAGAATCATAGCAAGGGAATCCTCCATTGCTGGGTCTCTGTCAGCTACAGCCGCAGCTGGGAGGGAAGCAACTGGACACAGGAAGGGAGCGGACCATTGTCACCCCAGGATTCTAGGAGTTAACTTGTCATGGGTCCTGGTTGTGTTTTGTTGCCTTGAGGCCCTTTCTGTCTCCAGGTAAGTGTGTTGTATGTGAAAGAGTCCAGGAGCTGGAGAGATGCTTAGTGGTTGAGAACACTTGTGCTCTTCCAGAGGATCTGAGTTCAGGTTAGCACTCACGTTCAGTGGCTCATAACTGTCTGTAACTCCAGCTCTAGAGGATACAACACCCTTCTCTGTCATCCATGGACACACACACAGAACACACATACATATTTGCACACAAATAAATCTTTTTTGAGTGTGTATGGTTTTTCAAGACAGGGTTTCTCTGTGTACCAGTCCTGGCTGTCCTGAAACTCACTTGGTAGACCAGGCTGGCCTTGAACTCACTGAGATCAACCTGCCTCTGCCTCCCAAGTGCTGTGCCACCACTGTCTGGCAAATAAATCTTAAAAATAAAAAACAAGGCTCCATTCAGAGCTCTCTTGATTCACCTAGCTACAAAGGAAAGCAGGGGAGCCCAGATGTGGCCCAGGTGCACATCTGTAATCCCAGCACATGGGATGTGAAGGCAGGAGGATCAGGACCAAGGTAATCCTTGCCTACATGGCAAGTTGGAGGCCAGCCTGGGCTACATGAGACCTTGTTTCAAACAAAATACACCACCACCCAAGGAGGGAGGGTGTAAGAAAAGGAAGCCAGATATGATGGGACACACTTTAATTCCAGAACTTGGGAGGCTGAAGAAGGAGGCTCATGAGTTCAAGATCATCCTTGGCTACATAGTGAGTTGGCAGTCAGTCTGGAATATGTGAGACAGAGAAGAAAACAGTGGGAGAAGATGGATGGTTTTTCCTCCAGATCTTTCTACTCACCCAGCCCAACCTTAAAATGCAGAGAAGGGGGAAGTGGGAGTGTTTCCCAACATTTTTTTTTACTTCTGTGTCTTTAAGTAGATCAACCATGGCAGTTTATGACCCAAGTGCAAAGATATCTTTGAAGTTACTAGATGAACTCAGTAAATTCAGATAGGAAGGGGGCCGTGAAATAAATAATGCACATATTTAAAATTTTCCCTCTGATTCTAATTTTTCCAGGTTTCTCCCTCATGACTGAAGTTTCTGGAACGTGTACATGTCGCTGTCCCGTCCCACCCAGCCCTGAGCTTTAAGGAAGGAATGCCAAACACAATCAGGAAAGGTCACCATCTGGTCAGCGGAAAGTTTTTTGGTACAGTGGCATTACCATCTCTGGGACTTCCCACCTGTGAGTTCTGGCTGTCAGCCATTTTTGGTAACCAGAGATTGCCCCAGAGTGGTGACAGAGGACGAAGTGGGCTGGATGAGCCCAGACAATATGCTCTGCACCCTCATGAGGTGACAGAGATATCGAAGCTGGACACTGGGGGGGGGGGTGTCACTCTGCTGGTACATGCATAAGGAATGCAAAGGCCTGAACAGGAAGTGCTGGGATCCTCTAGCTCCTACTTCCTGTGAACCTTAGGTGGTGTTTTGAGGAAGCAACCAAGCTCATTAAGGATTCTGTGTTCTCCAATGCAGCTAGCCCAGGCTATTCCACAAGTCAGGACAATGGAAATAACCCAATGTGGTGGGTGGTTCATCCCTGTAATCCTAGCACTGGGGAGGTGAAGGCAGGAGGATCAGAAATTCAAGATCATCCTTGCTGTGTTGGAAGCTCATGGCCAACTTGAGCTAACGAAACTTTGTCTTAAAACCAAACAGGCCCAGCGCTGTCACTCCAGGGCTAAGGCACTTGCCGCCATGGCTGATGGCCTGAGTTTGAGGGCAGAGCCCACACGACGGGAGGAGAGGTGACCCCCACAAGGTGTTCTCTGACCTCCACTCACCCTGTGGCACCTGCGCACCTGCACACACCTGCCCATCCACAGAAGGAAATAAATAATGCATCATAAAAATTCAAAACAAAGAAGAATCGAGGGGCTGGAGGGAGGGCTCAGTGGGCCAAGGGCTTGCCACAGAAGTGTGAGGTTCAGAAGTGTGGAAATATTGCTAGAAAGTCCTTCCCTGGGAGATGTAAACATCTACCCCTCCTCCTAAGGGAGGAGACAAAGCAACAAATGAAGGAGCGAGGATTCCAGCGTTGACTCAGGGGAGCGAGGGAGCCTCTCCTGCTTTCTTACAGAGCTACGGAGGCCATGGGTAGAGTGTGAGTGGCCTTACTGCAGATACACCGGAAGGTCCGCACCCAGCATGGATGACGACTCCCCATGAATGCATAGATGGAGCGTCCCCTCCCTAGTCCTTCCCAGACTATGTTCTTCTAGCAGGGTGAGAGGAGAGGGCGGACTCCACAGAGTTGTCTCCTGACCTCCACACCAATGCCCTGGCACTCAAGCCCCTCCCCTCCCCAATATTAATAAATAGGTCGTAAAACATGCTGGATGGCCTGATTTTGGCTTTAGTAGACATATACCTACGCAGAGAAAGTTTTCTGTAACACACAGTAAACTCTAACTTGTGGGTGGTGGGGATAGCTTATTTTAGTTCTGCTTTTTAGCACCTGGGAAATTTCCACCTTACACATACATTACTTCTGTAAACACGAAGGGGATCATCTTTTAGAAGCTGAGTAAATTACTGTGTTGGAAGAGTGCTTAATTAGCACACACAAAGTCCTAGGTTCAATCCCTGAAGTGCATAAATTGGTCATGGTGGCTTATGCTTTACCTCAGTGCTAAGGAGATAGAGGCAGGGGGATCAGACATTCAGGGTCATCCTCGGCTATATTTTGAGGCCAGCCTGGGCTACACAAGACTATCTTAAAAAAAAAAAAAGGAAAGAAAAGAAAAAAAAAAGGGCATTTTTAGAGTCAGTGTTGTCTATTACAGGAGGGACTTCCTAGTCTATCATTCCCAGACCTTGGTTTTTGTTTTTTGTTTTTTGTTTTTTGTTTTTTTTTTAATTTCCAAAGGAGGAAAAATTTTTGACCGGTCATACTAACTTAAAATAAACACTTTGGAAAATTTCAACCAGACTCATTTTCAGACAAAACACTTTCAGTGAACACTCATGTGCCCATTGTCCACCCTCCAGAGATTACTCATGGCCACCGTGGGCATCTTTTCCTATTCTCATTTTATTTTGAAGCAACTGCCAAGCCATCTTATTCATATTTCAGCACAGTGTCTTTGAGGACACTTAAGGACACACAATACAATACATTGTCATGCCCCCAAATAATAAGGTCCCGTAATATCATCAAATGCCCAACCCACTGGGTATTTTGGTTTTTTGTTTGTTTGTTTTTGAGACAGGTTCTTTCTCTCTGTCTAGCCCCAGCTGTCCTGGAATTCACTCTGTAGACCAGGCTGGCCTTGAATTTATAGAGATCTGACTGCCTCTGCCTACTGAGTGCTGAGATTAAAGGCATGCACCACCACCACTGCCTGGTGGGTGGTTTTTTTGTTTGTTTTGGGCAATATTTTATTAAACATCTTTACAGAGTAATAGCCGGCCTCCAGATGCATCTGTCAAGGCTCTGCTAAAAAATATGGATTACAGCCATGCACCATGGTGGTTCACAACTTTAATTCCAGCACTCAGGGGGCAGAGGCAGTCAGATCTCTGTGAGTTTGAGGCCAGCCTGGTCTACAGAGTGAGTTCCAGGACAGCCAAGGCTACACAGGGAAACCCTGTCTTGAAAAACCAAAACAGAAAAAAAGGAGAAAAAAATGTATGTAACACTGATGGATTTTTGTGTCATCTCTGCACAAGGAGTATGCCAACCTTCTCTGTGTCATCTAATTTTAGTATATATGCTGTCAAATGAGAAAATAATTTTTTTGAGATAGTGTTTTATTCTGTAACCCATACTGTCCTGGAACTATTGTAGTTAAGGCTGGCCTTGCACCCAGGGTGATCCTCCTGCCTCAGCATTCAAAGTCCCTGATGGGTTTACAGATGTGAGCCACCGCACATGATGTAAGGGAACTTTAAATTTTATTTTTATTTTTTATTTTTTGGTTTTTCGAGACAGGGTTTCTCTGTGTAGCTTTGCACCTTTTCCTGGAACTCACTTGGTAGCCCAGGCTGGCCTGGAACTCACAGAGATTTGCCTGGCTCTGCCTCCCGAGTGCTGGGATTAAAGGCGTGCGCCACTACTGCCAGGCTTAAATTTTATTACATTAATTTATTTTGTGTGTGACTGTGTGTGGGCACCCACATGTCACAGCTGGTGTATAGAGGGCAGAGGACCACTTGTCGGAGTTGATTCTCCTCTTTCCTCCTGTGAGTTCCAGGGATGGAACTCAGGTCATCAAGCTTGTCAGCAAACACCTTTACCTGCTGAGCCATCTCCCTGGTCCTCAGTGAACTTTTATTTATTTATCTTTTTTTCTTTTTTCTATACAGGGTTTCTCTGTGTAGCCCTGACTGTCCTGGAACTCACCCCATAGACCAAGCTGGCCTGGAACTCAGAGATCTGCCTCCCTCTGCTTCCCCGGTGCTAGATAAAAAGGCGTTCGCCACACCTGACTCTAAGCTTACTTTTACAGGTGTTTTGAGGCCTGAAGAAATGGCTTACTCAGTGGTTAAGAGTACATACTGTTCTTGCAGAGGACCCAAGTTTGGTTTCCAACACCCACATCAGGTAGCTCACAAACATCTGTAACTCCAGCTCCAGGAGACACAATGCTTCTGAAGGTACCTGCACTCATGTGCACATTCACAATAAGACGTACATGCATATATAATATAATTAAAGATCATAAACACCGAGTTCCAGGACAGGCACCAAAACTACACAGAGAAACCCTGTCTCAAAAAATGAAAAAAAAATCATAAACATAAAATAAAAGAAGAAACACGGATGGGCTGGGACGGTGGTTCAGTCGTCAGAGTGCTTGCCTAACATGTACAAAGTCTGGGGTTTGATCCCCAGCACCCCTGTAAATCCTAGGACTTAGAAGGTAAAAGCAGCAGAGTCAGGAGTTCAAGCTCATCCTTGGCTACATAGCAAGTTTGAGGTTGGTGTGGGGCTATGTGAGATGAAAAACAAAGAAATCCTGCCTTAAGCAAGGGAAAAAGTTGGGGCTGGAGAGATGGCTCAGTGGTTAAGAGCACGGGCTGCTCTTCCAGAGGACCCGGGTTCAATTCCCAGCACCCACATGGCAGCTCACACCTGTCTGTCATTTCAGCTCCAGGGGATTCAACAACCTCATACAGACATACATGCAGGCAAAACGCTAATGCCCATGAAATAAAAATGAATCAAACAAGCAAGGGAAAAGGCAAAGATAGGTAATTCAGTTGTTTTCTGACCTCCACACATTCACCCTGGCACATACATGCCTGAATTCGCAATGTACACACACACACACACACACACACACACACACACACAAATTAAAAATTAGGATCATTGTTGTTATCATTGCTGTATTTGTTCTCTTTCTTTTTTTTTAACTAGTTAGTTAATTATTTTATTTTTATGTGCATTGCTGTTTTGCCATGGGTGTTGGATCCCTTGGTACTGGAGTTATAGACAGTTGTGCTGGGAATTGAACCTGGGTCCTCCTGAAGAGCAGTCAGTGCTCTTAACCACTGAGCCATCTCTCCAGGCCCTCTCTTTCTTTCTTGAGACAGCATCTTACTGTGTAGCCCCAGCGATCCCAGAACTCATTATGTAAACTAAAGTGCCTTCAAACTCACAGCATCCTCCTTCCTCAGCCTCCCGGGTGCTGTGGTGACAGGTGTGAGCCTCAGCATAGAACTTTAAAATTAATTTTGTGTGACTGTGTATGTTTGCACCCAATACATGTGGGCCTGAGTCCAAACCCACATGGAGGTCAGAGGTTAACTCTGGGTGCCACCCCTCAGGCACCTTGGTTTTTGAGATAGACTCTTCAATGGCTTGGAGCCCATGAACTCAGCTAGGCTGGCTGGCCAGCAGTGCGCCCCAAGGTTTCCCATCTTCACCTCCTCCGGGCTGGGATTAGAAGTATGAGCCCCCACATACAGCTTTTATAAGTGTTCCAGGGGTCAAACTCGGCCTTTTTTGTTTTTTGTTTGTTTGTTTGGTTTGGTTTTTTGAGACAGGGTTTCTCTGTGTAGCTCTGGCTGTCCTAGAATTCGCTCTGTAGACCAGGCTGGCATCAAACTCAAGAGATCTGCCACCTGCCTCTGCCTCCAGAGTGCTGGGATTAAAGGCATGTGCCACCAGAACTGTGCTTTGTATTTTGTATTTTGTATTTTATTTTTTATGTCTGTTTTATTTTTCTGGGAGAGGGGGAGCATGAGTCTCCCTACATAGGCCAGTCATCAAATCGATTCTCCTGCCTCACATTCCTGAGTTCTGGGATTACACATGTGAG